CTAGGGCCGGACCGGGGACGGAACCTAGACCGCCAGAAGGGGCCCGGCCAGGTTGTTTGGGGTGTCATGGGTGCCTAGTGGTGTTCTAGGGAAGGTAGCTTGCGTTTCTTTTCATCACGATCCCTGCGTGTGGCGAGGGAAATGACGGGCCGCACGCGTTCCGAGAGCCTGTCTTCCAAGCCCCTGCCTTGGTTCTTAAGCTCTTCTCCTTTTCTCTCACTACTCATTGTAGGAGCTGGAAGCGATCAAAGCTCGAGTCAGGGAGATGGAGGAAGAAGCTGAAAAGCTAAAAGAGCTGCAGAATGAGGTAGAGAAGCAGATGAATATGAGCCCACCTCCAGGCAATGGTGAGTAACTGGCGGTTGCACGCGGACCTCGGGTGCTCGCATTGGAAGGATTGCGGGAAGTAAGAATACTGTGGGATTAGGTGCCGGGACATTGGAGGTGCTGTCTCAGGAATTACTGGGCTGGTACCGAGGTCATACTCTATTGTGTGTTCTCCTGACCTTTGTGAGACAACCCATGTTTTGATGATGGTAGTTTTGTACTTCTCTTTGTCCATGTTATAAATGTGTTGCTCTTTGTTCTTAGTCTATCTCTGTATTTCTTTGATGAGGTTGCTAGCTGGCATTTGACCTTCAAGTCTTATAATGTTTCTACTTTCAGTTATTTCTTTTAGTTAATAAGAATTTTAAGAGTGCTCAGCTATTGGGGGCTTCTCCTTTGTAGTGTAGCAATGTAGTCTCAGCCCACTTAATTTTGTTCGGTTTTCAAGATCTTTAAACTCAAGCAATTCAGTAGGCTGTTGATTTAGGGGCCAGGACTTCTTGTGATGTTCTTAAGATTGTAGTAATTTATTGCTTGATTTGTCAAATTATTCCTTAATTTGGTTACACCTACTATGTACTAGGCACTATTCTGCGTAATGAGTATAGCAGGGAACAGAAAAGATCAAAATCTGCTTTCATTGAGCTTCCATTCTAGAGGTGGTGTAGGAATGGAGCTTGTATGTTGGTCAAGTAAAAAAGAAACATTTCTTAATTGTTTTTTTTCTCAAAGCTGGCCCAGTGATCATGTCCATTGAGGAGAAGATGGAGGCTGATGCCCGTTCTATTTATGTTGGCAATGTATGTGCCCTGTTTGGGGTTTAGGAGGTGGGGGAGAAGCTCTTATCTTGGGGATATACCTACTAGGAGACTTTTGAAGGGGATATCTCCCAGACAGGTGATGGGTTTGTGGGGAGTGGGATGGGGGTTTGGGAGAACGTAAAAAGTGATAGACTGATTAACAGATGCTCTAAGGTTAGAAGGAAAAAATTAGTTCCTTAGAGAACCAGATTCGATGGGTCTTTATGTATATGATAGCCTAACCCAAGGCTAGGCAGGGAACCTGTTGAGATAGGAGTTGGAGTATCTGTGAAATCTACCCCCCTCCCCAAATCAGGTGGACTATGGTGCGACAGCAGAAGAGCTGGAAGCGCACTTTCATGGCTGTGGTTCAGTCAATCGTGTTACAATACTCTGTGACAAATTCAGTGGCCATCCCAAAGGGTAAGTAGAGGGGAGTAAGTTAAGATCACATTTTACGTAGTTGAAAAATAGATTGTTTTTAATTGTAAATAAATTGTAAATAGTAAGTCACTTGCTATTAAGATATGGGATTGATACTGATAAATATCCCATAGCACATAAATCCATTTAGGGGCCAGACAGTTAACAAAGATGAAGTGGGCCAAGTATAGGTAGATTCATGAACTGGAAGAAGACAGACATCTTCTAGTTCTAGCTGGTTGAATTCCCCCTTAGTATCCTATTTTATAGTTTTCCTAGAAATTTTGATTAAAATACTGTATTTAAAATATTTTTGAGAAATTATGAATATAAATACATTGCCTAACAAGTTATATTTGCAAGTTGAATTTGACCTATGAGCTATTTGCAATCTCAGATGGGTAAAGTGATAATTACCTCTTTTTCAGGTTTGCATATATAGAGTTTTCAGACAAGGAGTCAGTGAGGACCTCCTTGGCCTTAGATGAGTCCCTTTTTAGAGGAAGACAAATCAAGGTAAGCACCATGCCCATTGCTTTTGTGGTTTTACAATTTTATGTAAACTCTGCAGGTTGCTCTAAGGCTTTCTATTGTATGTCCCTCATTCCCAGGTGATCCCAAAACGAACCAACAGACCAGGCATCAGCACAACAGACCGAGGTTTCCCACGAGCGCGCTACCGTGCCCGGACCACCAACTACAACAGTTCCCGCTCTCGATTCTACAGTGGATTCAACAGCAGGCCCCGGGGTCGTGTCTACAGGTCAGGATAGATGGGCTGCTCCTCTCCCCCGCCTCCCATGAGCCCTGTATGCGTCTTTCTCTCCATCTGAGGAACTCCCCCCCCCACCTTGGTCTCCAGGGACTTGGTCTCCTGCCTGTGCAGGGTGAGGAAGGTAGTTGGAGGCCAGGCCAGGAGGCCAGTCTCGTCATCTTTTCTGGACCAGAAATTGGTGATAAGGGCTGGATTCTCTCCAGTCTGTTCTGAGAGATGCTTCCTCCCCAGCCACCACCACCCCTTGGGAATAGAAGCAGTGAGGGTGTTTACATGGAAGGCCAGAAAGAAGAGGGCCTGCCGAGAGTACTACTTGGACATTTTATTACTTTTCTCAGTTAGGGAGGGGTTGAAGTTTGAACCTCTCTTGGAAGACTACTATCCTCCCCAGCAGCCATGTGGGAGAATATTGAGATACTTAACTCTTCAGCTGAGCCAGTCTTTCGTAAGATTAATGTTCTCACTGGGTATAGCCCATGTTTCTGCTTTACTTTGGTCTTTTTGCATTGGATTAGGTGGGTTAGACATACAGCTTTTGTTTTCATAAAATCAGCCAATCTGTTTCCAGAAGTTACGGAGATCTGTTGGTGAGGGCCTAGGGTTTAAGAGCTATGAACTAGAAACTGAATAAGCAGTGGGTCCTCTTTTTTTACCCTATATCTTGTGTGCATTTTTTTATTACCATTGTTTACCAAAGTATGCTTCCAATCCCCTGCCCACTTTCAAGTGTATCTGTTTTGGGGATTATGGGGTGCATTTTAGGAGCTTGAAAACTTCTTTTCCCCTTCCCTTCACAGTAACTGGGGTAGGGGTCCATGGGGAGGGGCTTGACTAAAATAGCCTGTGAACATGTTAACACCTAACTCTCCTTCTTTCTTCCAGGGGCCGGGCTAGAGCGACATCATGGTATTCCCCTTACTAAAAAAAAAAGTGTGTATTAGGAGGAGAGAGAGGAAAAAAAGGAAAGAAGGAAAAAAAAAAAAAAAAAAAATAAAAAAAAAAAAAAGAAAAACAGAAGATGACCTTGATGGAAAAAAAAAAATATTTTTTAAAAAAAAGATATACTGTGGAAGGGGGGAGAATCCCATAACTAACTGCTGAGGAGGGACCTGCTTTGGGGAGTAGGGGAAGGCCCGGGGAGTGGGGCAGGGGGTGCTCATTCACTCTTGGGATTCGTCATGGACACGTCTCAACTGCGCAAGCTGCTCCCTATGTTTCCCTGTCCCACTTCACCCCTTTGGGGGGCTGCTCAAGGGTAGGTGGGTATGGGTGGTAGGAGGGATTTTTTTTACCCAGGGCTCTGGAAGGACACCAAACTGTTCTGCTTGTTACCTTCCCTCCATCTCTTCCCTGCCTTTCATAGCCCCCTCCTGCCTGCTTCCTGTCCTACCAGGTCTGCCACCCACCCCACCCCTCTTTTCTGACTCCCTGCCCCTCCAGATTTGCCTGGTGATCTATTTTGTTTCCTTTTGTGTTTCTTTTTCTGTTTTGAGTGTCTTTCTTTGCAGGTTTCTGTAGCCGGAAGATCTCCGTTCCGCTCCCAGCGGCTCCAGTGTAAATTCCCCTTCCCCCTGGGGAAATGCACTACCTTGTTTCGGGGTTTGGGATGTTTTTTGTTTTTCAGGTTTTTTTTTTGGTTTTGTTTTCCTTTGCCTTTTTTTTCCCTTTTATTTGGAGGGAACGGGAGGAAGTGGGAACAGGGAGGTGGGAGGTGGATTTTGTTTATTTTTTTAGCTTATTTCCAGGGGGGTGGGAGTTTTTTAAAAAAAAAAAAAATATGTGTCATGAATAAAGTTGTTTTTGAAAATAAAAATTGTTCGGTCTTTTGGGTGTAAGGATCATTTATCTACTGTTCTCTCTTAAATCTCAGATGGCTGTTAATCCTACTTTGGAAGTACTGGTGTTATGGAAGGGAAGTTCCCACTTGTGAGTTGAGGAGGAGTTAAATTACAGCTAGCCAGGAACATTGTGTTTAGTCATGAATGATGGATTTTCTGGATAACATGCTGCCCAGATTGGCATTTGAGAGGTAAATTAAGCCTGGAAAAATAATGAAATGGCCAGATGAGAATGACCTAAGAGCACTTGTGTGTGTATCCTGATAAACTGCAAATGAATTATCCACACTAGCACTAGATGCTTAGATTGGGATCTGAGTAGCTTTGTCTTCCCTACTATAAGGTGAGTTAGAGGAATGAAAGTGCTTTTTTTTTTTTTAATGGAGCTTATGAGACAGATGCAAAGTTTATGTTGTCTTCTCTTCAGCCAGGTGATGACCAAGCAATGTGTTCAGCTGAGTTTTGTTCATCTGCTAGTATTCCATTAGGACTTTACATCTGGCTTACTTTGTTTTAGTACTTAGTATCCTTCCATTTTCTGTTGTGCATTTGATATTGTCAGATTTTATTTCATTGACTCTCCATTATCCACAGGAGTTTTAAATCTAGTTCTCCATTGTCTGAGTGTTTCAACCTCTGCCTAGTTGGTATTCACTCCCTTCTGTTCCTATGATGTGATGTTTATGATTACTCTGACCTTGGGTGCCTTTTTCATCAAAAATCTTGAGACAGTAAAGAAATGGCTTTGTCCTGTATTGAAGAATCCTCAACCTACTTCCCAAATTACATTGTATTCTGAATTCTAGGGTAGTGTTCACTACCACTTACACTTTAGCATTCAGTCATTATACTGACTCGTGTGTGTAGGCATTTGAGGTACGTTTTTCTCCTAATTAGATTCAGCTATTCCTAGAATAGTGCCTTGCCTGATAATCTGATTGTGGAGACTTCTGCAAAAGCTGATGAGCAAGAGACTGGGTAGTGTACTCCGTATTAACTTTTTTGTCACCTGCCCACCCCTGAGTATTAACTTTTTACTAGGAGAATGAAGTACTATAAAATGGCTTGATGCAGCTAGTACAGGGATGGTGTCATCCACCAGGGGGCACAAAGTGGCTGTCTCTTAAAAGCTTTAGAAATGTGTTAGATCTTGGAGGGTAAATGTTTTTTGATCCTTCTCTGGTCTCAATTTTCATGTTCCATCAATCCTAGTCACTAAATACCTTGTTCATTCTCGCAATTTCTGCTTGAATAACTCCGTTTTCACTGCAGTGAGGTCCTGTCAGATGTCTGCCTCTGAACTGTTAACATTTTCAGTATGCCTCTTAGGCTACCAACCAGTGAATACAAAGTAAACCCAAGTGTGGAACTAAGTAAGGCCTTTCCCATTTGATCCTATTTAAATTTCCCTGCTATACCCTGCTCTACATCCAATGTATTGTGCATTTCAGTTGAGTTTGATTTAAATGCATTGCTTAGGCTTCCAGGCTGCTATGCCCACCCTCAACTTCTCTATCATGCTCATCTTTCAAGGGCTAAACCAAGTATTGCAACTATGAAGGCTTTCTTGGATATTTAGGTGGTTACCACTTTGTGGCTATTAAGGAATACTGTTGCTATGAACATATCTATGCAAGTTTTTATATGAACATGTTTCCGTTTCTTTTGGGTATGTACATATGGTGTGGTGCAGTGAATAACTTAATACGGCTTTTTTAGCCAGGGTCTTTGTGCTTTCCACCAGATGGATGGAACTATGCAAATGTAAGGTGCTTGCAGCCCACCAAGGAAATTAGACAGCTTGTTAATAATGTAAATAAGGTACATGACACCCTTGGAGTGGGACCATGCAAATAAGGTATACAGAACTCTTAACATGGGGATTGGTTAGTTTTATCATCCCACGGCTTAAAATGAGCCATTCTAGAGGTGGAAAGTGGGGGAATATCACTACCATCAAGAAGGAAGAAGCAGTAGGAATGGAGCACATCTTTAGGCCCCAGATCCCTGCATTGGATGGCAGAGAGATGGCATCAGCAGAGGCAGCAGAATCGAGAGACCAGCACGAGAAAGTGATGAGCTTGCTGGCCCACAAAGTGAGAAAACTGAGTGTCGCAGATGGGGTGGGCATCTATTTGGGCACATGTTAGCAAAACTAAAGCTTGGTAACAGTGGCCCAAACAGGGTAGAGGCTGAGGCCAGAGAGATGCGTGCCTGTGGCATGGCTGAGAAGAAACTGTCCTGATTGAAGAATTGTACCCTGAGTTCTCTGATTCTGGATTGTAACCTGTTACTTCCCTAAAAAAACCCTATTATCATGAGTATCATTTGTGAGTTTTGTGTGGCCATTGTAACGAATTATCAAACCCAGCAGAGAAGTAGAGTGTCAGGGGATGGACAATTAGTGTCAGAATTGGCAAAAAAGTTAGAGGATGGTGGCATGTTGAACCTCTACCTCATGGCACTCAGTCTTGGCTGATGTTGCTGATGGTGATTCTCCCTTTGACATCAGAAGATACCGCCCCCATGTCCTTTTACATGTAACTATTTTTAATCTTTTGAGGAACTTCTGGAGTGTGATTTTCAAAGCAGCCACACAGTTCCCACCAACAATGGCTGAGGTTTCCAGTTTCTCCACATCTTCCTCAATAGTTATTGTCCATCGTTTTTTTTTTTTTTTTAATTACAGCCACCTTAGAGGGTGTGAAGGAGCTGTGGTAGCATAGTGCCTAAGGCATTTGACTGCTAACCAGAAGGCTGTTAGTTCATCCATCAGCCACTCCTCAGAAGGAAGACTGGGCAATCTACTTCCGTAGAGATAATGCCTCGGAAACCCAAAGAGGGGTCGCTATGAGTTGGGACCGACTCAACGGTAGTGAGTTTGGTTTGATTTTTTTGAGAGTGTGAAATGGTATCTGGTCATGCTTTAGACTTGCATTTCAAATCACAAGTAATGATTTGAGCATCTTTTCATGTACTTACCAACCATTTATTTATGTGGAGAAATGTCTATTCAAATCTTTTGCCCATTTTTCAATTGGGTTATTTGTCTTTTTATTCTTGCGTTATGAATTCTTTGTTGCAAAAAATGTTGGGGAGGCATCATCTGACTTCCTCTCACTTTATGAGGGAAAGAGAATCACTATCAGCGTCCACAGCCCAAGGTTGATTCCTATGAGGAAGAAGTCAGACATGCCACCACCCTCCAATGTTTTTACCAATTTTGACACCAGTCGTCCTTCCTGTGGCACTCTCCACTTTTCTGTTGGGTTTGATCATTGGTTGCAATGGCCACATAGAATGCACAGAAAATACAATTAAGGGGTTTATTAGGGAAGTAACAGGTTACAATTCAGGTTTAGGAACACTCAGGATACAATTAGTCGATCAGGACAGTGTCCCCTTAGCCATGCCCATAGGCATACCTCTCTTTGGCTCTTGGCCCCTCGGCCTGGCTTTTTCACAGCTCAAGCAAGTATTATAACACTCTTTCAGCTCTGCGGATAGGTGCCAGAGAAGCACCCCACTCTACTAGCAAGCCTGCCACTCAGCTTTCTTGCTCCATGGGCCAAGAAGCCTACCACTCTGTCTCATGCTGGTTTCTTGGATCTGCTTCCTCTGCTGCTGCAGTTTTTCTGCCACTATTTCCTGCCATCTCTCACTGTCTCCAGTATCTTTTGGCTGTCTCAGCAGTGCCTCCCTCTGTCTCCAGGGTTGAGGAGTTTCAGCACAGGGATCTTAGGTCCAAAGGACTTGCTTCACTCCTGGCTCCTTCTCTTTGATGGTAGTGAGATCCTCCTTTCTGCCTCTGGAATGGCTCATTTCAAGGCTAGCGAGATGGCAAAACTGACCTATTCCTGCGTTAAGATTCCATATACCTTATTTGTACAGTCCCACCCACAGGGGTGCCATGTACCTAGTGTATATTATTAGCAAGCTATCCAAACCCCTTGGTGGGCCAAAAGCACCTGACATTGGCATAGTCTTACCCAGTCACCTGGTGGGAGTCACAAAGACCATGGTAGAGGAACCAAACTGTACTGATTTCTTGCACCACAAACAACTTGTATATTCTGAATACTACACCCTTACCAGATACATAATTTACAATTACTACTTCTCATTCTGTGGGATGTCTTAACAGCACTCTCCCCATTTCCTTTCCTCTAGATTTTCTACCCCTTCCTATCTTCTCATCTTTGAGGTAAACGTTGTGCTTTGGATCACGTAGGACTGTTTGTTCTAAGGAACACATTCCTCTCGGATGTTATTGTTTGTTTTATGGGCCTGTGTATTGTTTGGCTGAAGGGTGGTCCCAGGAATGGCATCAGTTCCAGATCCGAAGGGTCTGATCTGAAGGAACCCCACCAGTCTCTGTCAGACCAGTAAGTCTGGTCCTTTTTGTGAATTTGATTTTTTATTCTATTTTTTTTTTTTCTCTCTCTGGGACCCTCACTGTTATTATCCCAGTCAGTGGTCAATAGTGGTAGCCAGACACTGTCTAGTTCTGGTTTTGGGGTCCTGTAGGCTCTGGTTCATGTGGTCTGTCATTCCTTTGGACTAGCTGCTCCTTTGAGTCTTTGTTTTCTTCACTCTGCTTTGTTCCATATGGGAAGAGACCAATTGTTGTATCTTGGATATCCACCTGCAAGCTTTTAAGACCCCAGACGCTACTCACCAAAGTAGGATACAGAACTGTCTTTATGAACTATATTGTGCCAATAGATGTAGATGTCCCTTGAATCTATGGTCCTTCACCTTTGAGCCTAGGAACTTCATCCTGCAAGGTATTTGATTATATCTAAGAAGCTTGTATGATGTGCACCTTGTGTGCTCTATTGTCTACATTAAATACATGCGGCACATACAATTATGTGTATAGAAATATCCACAGCCATACTTGCATATCTGCAGGTGGGTGTGTGAATTGTCTTTTCATTTGCTTGATGGTATTTTTTGAAGGACAAAGATTTTAATTTTGATAAAGTCCAATTTAT